AATAATGAAGGAAAACGTCCCCAATCTGGTAAAGGAAATAGACTTCCAGGAAGTCCAGGAAGCTCAGAGAGTCCCAAAGAAATGAGACCCAAGAAGGAACACACCAAGGCACATCATCATTAATTTACCCAAGATTATAGATAAGGAGAGAATCTTAAAAGCAGCAAAAGAAAAGGAGATAGTTACCTATAAAGAAGTGCCCACAGACTGTCAGCTGATTTCTCCAAAGAAACCTTACAAACAAGAAGGGGTTGGAAAGAAGTATTCCTTACTATGAAAGGCAAAGTTCTACATCCAAGATTACTTTATCCAGGAAAGCTTTCATTTAGATTGGAAGGGTAGATAAAGTGCTTCCCAGATAAGGTCAATGTAAAGGAGTTCATTACGAAGCCCTTATTACATGAAATGTTAAAGGGAGTTATCTAAGAAATAGAAGAAGATCAAAAGCTATGAACAGTAAAATGACAACAAACTCACAACTATCAAGAAGTGAACCTAAAAAGAAAAACAAACTAGGCAAACAATTATAAGAGGAACAGAATCAGAGAAATGAACATCACATGGAGGGTTTTCAGTGGGGAGTGGGAGGGGAAGAGTGGGGGAAAGGTACAGGGAATAAGAAGTATAATTGGTAGGCATAAAATAGACAAGGGGAGGTTAAGAATAGGAAACAGAAGTGAAAAAACTTATATGTACAACCCATGGACATGAAGTAAGGGTGGGGGCAAATTCTGGAGGGTTGAGGAGTACAGGGTGGAGGGGGGATAAAGGGGGGAAAATTAGGAAAACTGTAATAGCATAATCAATAAAATATATTTAAAAAGAATTAAATCATAAAAATAAAATAACATATTAAATTAGTCTTTTAATTAAGTAATTTTGGTTCTGCCAACAGATATAAACACTAGACACTACATACTCCTGACAACTTTCAGAGATAGATCAACATGTAAGAACTGAACTGGCATATATGCTCTTAAAATATATTCAAACACTTAAAAACATTAGGTACCAATAAATATGTATACATATATACACACACACATATATATGTATCTAATTATATGTACACATATGTGTGTATTCATGTGTATAGATTTCAAACTGCATGCAGTTACTACTTCAGAGTTAAGGAGCTAACCTGTAGGACTTGGATATGGATCAAAGTTCACCAAGGCCCAATATCATTATTAACAAAAAGGAAAAATATCAACATTGTTAGAAATATCAAGAAACTAAAGCATTACACACACTTCTTTCAAGTTAAACTTTAATTCAATAAATGAATACTCTGAAAGTTCATTTTCATGCATCTGTATATAAACCAAATTATCATCACTAAAATAAAAACAGCATATGACATATTTTGAAATGGCCAAAATCATTTTTAATAATCATTACTATAAGCTCAGACTAAAACAATCAATCTGAGAGCAAGCGGGTTTAAAACTCAGTTTTACTTTGTAGTTTATGAACAGATCAAAAAGTCACACACACTCATCAGGTGTGTTTTTAGATTGACTACTCTTGTTATTACTTCTTTAGAAACAGTACCTTTTAAAAGTGGTTTTGACACTAATGTCTTTATGTTGACCTATTTCAATAGTGAGCTTTATTACTAGTAAGAACAATAACCACAGTGCTGATTAAAATATAAATCATGATAATAGTTTGGTTTATTTGAATAACTGCATGCAATAACTGAATAACCAAGCAAGATGTTTGTGTCAATTCATTATGTTGAATGCAAGACAGTTAACATGGCTGATGAGAGTTTCACTGGTATTCTTCAAGAGTATTCTAAGGTAAAACTTTAAATAACACCCTCTATACATGTCCAAGTCAGATCAGATAAAATGCAGTTTGGAAAATGATCCTCACATGGATACAATTTTTTTATTTGGTGAGGTGATAGATTAACTATTGTGGTAGTCATTTTTAGTTACATATATATATCAAATTATTACATCTTACATCTAAACTTATACAATGTTGTATATACATTATATTTCAATAAATTACGATGAAAAAGAAACAAAGTGATTCTCTGAAGAAAATGTGTCCTATTAAATTTATGGTTTTTTAGAGCATATTTTATTAAATTTAACTCCAATTACTTCAGAATTTATGGAACTTAAATGAAAGTTTTCATTTTTTTTAAAGATCTTATTTATTTTTAGAGAGAGGGGAAGAAAGGAAGAGAGAGAGAGAAACATCAATGTGTGGTTGCCTCTCACATGCCCCCTACTGGAGACCTGGCCCACAACCCAGGCATGTGCCCTGTGTGAGAATCAAAACAGCAACCCTTTGGTTCACAGGCAGAGCTCTAGCCATTGAACTACACCAGCCAGGGCTGAAAATTTCATTTTAAAATACAGTTAAAATGAGTTAAGACTTTCAAATGGAAAAAAGGCAACTTTTTATTTCTTTTTCTTATTTTTTAAATCAATGAAAGCCAAATTTTAAATTACCATAAATACAGAAATTGAATATCAAGTCTCAAAAATCTGTTAATAATCTGTCACCAGTGATTGGGCTCAGCAACATTAATTCAGGATGAAAATGAGCATTTCCAAACTTAGTAAAATGGAATGACACAGCACAGACACAAAATGAAAAGTGAACCTTGGATGCAAAATTGAGATTATTAGAGCAGTTAACACAAGACAAATGAAGTACAGAAATGAAGCTGGTATGAAGAGATCACTATACAATTTAATCATGCTGTGATTCTCCAGATAAGTTTGGATTGCCTAGTTCCTAGAGAAGATACACATTTTTATCGTGCTTGGTTACATTTGCTGATCATATGACAAGACCATAGCAACATTTTGGTGTGAACCACAAGCATCTTTTGGGTGATCACTAAAATGATTTCTGTGATGACATGCTGAGAACTTAACATTAAAAATGCAGATGGCATTTTGTTGCCAGGTTATCAGGATAGCTTTACATTTAATAGAAAAACTAATACATCCACTATTTCCTTTTTACTCTATGTTGATTTGTTTTAGTACAACTTTAAGAAAATGATGAAAGGCATTACTGAAAAGAATTATTAGATGCCATAGAACTGGAAGAAGCAAAGTATAAACCAAGCTATATACTTTTAAGTTCTTCAATTATAGATTTTAAAGTCCTAAAGACTGAAAAACCTGCCAGCAAAATGAAGTAAATAGACAAATAAATAGATCATTCCCCTACAGTCAGGTACATACCTGGTCTCCCAGGAGGACCTTGGGGCCCAGGGTTGCCTTTAGGGCCTTGTAGAACTGGACCTGGAGAACCAGGGGGGCCAGGGGGACCCTGCACACCAGGGAAACCAGGAGAGCCTGGTTCACCCTTTGGACCTGGAAGGCCAGGGTTACCTGGAATGCCAGGTAATCCTCCATCACCCTTTTGACCTATGAAAACAAAGTGACATTGAAATGACATTAAAGAACACATTAAATGATGCTGGGTATTAGGCTGGCCTGTAAGGCTAAAGCTATTTATACTTATTAGAACAAGGAATGGAATATAATAGGGTCATTTCTATCTCTCACCAAATACCCAGTGCATCCAAAAAACTCATTCTTGCCCTGGCTGGTGTGCCTCAGCAGATTGAGTGCTGGCCTGTGAACTGAAAGGTCACTGGTTCAATTCCCAGTCAGAGCACATGCCTGGGTTGCAGGCCAGGTTTCCAGTTGGGGGCATGCAAGAGGCAACCGAGTGATATATCTCTTGCACATCAATGTTTCCCTCCCTCTCCTTCTTCCTCCCTTCCCCTCTCTCTAAAGATAAATAAGTAAACAATCTTTATCAAAAATCCATTGTTCCTATAAAATATATTTATCTGTTATCGAAGTGTTTACTAGACTATGTATAGAAATATATAAGCAATAATAGCTTGTATACTGAAAGATAGCTTTTGTATCAAGACATAGAGCAATGATCACATGACAAATGGCTGTGAACAAAAAAGAGATAAATAGAAAAGTATAAAATATCTGCAAGGTTAGAGATGGCTGGGTGAAATTCCTAAAACAAATGTTTTGTTGTAGTTATCCTCACCTGAGGACATGCTTATTGATTTTAGAGAGAGAAAAAGGGAGGGAAAGAGAGAGGGAGAGAAACATCAATGTGAGAGAGAAACATATATTGGTTGCCTCCTTCACCCACCCTGACCAGGAGTAAAATTCTCAACCTAGTTATGTGCTCTAACTGGGAATCACATTTGCGATCTTTCAGTTTTTGGACAGCATTCCAACCAACTGAGCCACATCGGCCAGGGTGTAAAACAAATGTTTTAAGACTAATTTTGAGGCTAGTGGAAGATACAGATCTTCAATGTTATCTATGTGCCCTCAAAGTTTATTCTATCCAAAATTTAAAATCACAATCTAGACAAATTGTTATCAACTTTTTACACTACCAACATGCCTGAGAACAACACACCAGTGACACGTTATATCAATCATTTTTATGTTGGGATCATGGGAAGGATATGGGAATTTCTATGAGATATGGATGTGGTTTGAAAAAGCCTCCATAGAATATAAAATGGTTATTAGAGAACATAAATATACACAGCTGTATACACATTCTATCATTTACCTATTTTGTTCTTACAAGGAGAATAAGAACATGTGAGTGAAAGTAGATGTGTGTGCACACATACACATTCAAAATGCAAGATGAATATTAACATGTAGTTTTGAAGAGACATTTTTACTATTAGTATGTATTTCTACAGTTTCCTTATATTACGTGAGTAAAAGTGTTTTTTTCTGGCAAAAAGAGTTTTAAAAATTTAGTGAAATCTACTTCTTCCTCAAAGTTTGTTTCCTTTCTTTATTTTTCCTCAGCATTTATTTATGAAGTTAATAAATAGATACCTATATGTGAATTTCCTTAAGAATACATTTTCTATAGTATAACTCCTCATATTAAATTGCTAATTAAGAACCACTTTAATTAGCTATAACTCTAGTTTTGAGTTTTCTGAGGTCATATGCACATTTTATAAAACTAAAATTATTGTACTGAAGAATATTCTCATGTATGGACTTATTTAGCATGTTTATTAGGAAATGTTTTCAATTAGGAATAATCACTCCTCAGACAAACCTCATTGGCTATGATATTGCCACTGTGCAAAGCTAGCATATTTTATTAAAGTTTACCAGAAAGTCCTGGGAGTCCAGGGGGTCCTGGGATTCCAAAGCCTGGTTGACCTGTCAGGAAATAAACCAAAAATTCTCAAATAGATAATAATAACTGAAACAGCACAGATTATCTTCCAATTATTTAGGTTTTTATTAAGTGCTACAATGTATATTATATGAAACATGTAGAAGATTTATTTCAAACATGGAACTACAATTCTAACATGAGAAAACTATATATACATATATATTATTTGTGATGAATGTTAGATATATACTTATATCATATGACTATATATAAATGGAATATGGATTGCATAATAAAAGAAAGTCATCCAGAGAACTTCATAAAAGGTAACAGCTTCTTGACATGAAAAATTGAGCAAGAAAAGATATGGAGTTTTTCATAAGAGGGAAACAAGTTGAATGATAAATGTGAGGTTACATTCTCAGGATACAGTGGAATATAATTAGTATGGGAAAGGGTGTGGTAGCTTAAAGGGTAAGAAAGAAGATATAATTTCATTGTGGGTAAAAAAGGGCAAAAGTTAAAGTATACAAGGGGGAAATTATAAAATTAAAAACAATAAAAAATATAGTACCTGGTTCACCCTTCTGTCCAGCTGGTCCAGGAATACCATCTTGACCTGGATTTCCTTTTTCACCTGGGGGTCCTGATGGCCCAGGATGACCTCTGCCACCTAGATTACAGATTAGGAAGGTTACATCTATTTCCTCCATTCCCTTTTCCTTCCATATTCCCCAGTATCCCCATCCTAGATTCAAATAGTTCTATCCAAAAGACAAAAAGTGCCTCTGAGACACTCCTTTAAATTATGAAATATTATGAAAAAGCATAAAAAATAATGATGTGAATAAGTAACAGTCTTATCATCCACTCATTATCCAAAATGTTTCAGTTTCTCATTTTAATCAAGCTTTAGACTATCCAAAATATAAGGTGTGGGAGATGGGGTGCCTTATAGACCTTATATGGGGTCAATGGAAGTGATTTGCTTCATAATTCAGTAAACAAATAAAAGTGCTACTCCTTGCCATTCTAAAAAAATCAAGCTTTCTCTCTATTATAGGACACTTGAAATAACTCTTTCTGGAAAAAGTGAGCCCCAAAATAAGTTCTAACAACAATAATTTCATATAACTTTTATTGAGTTCTGCACTTTGCACCTAACAAGCAGAGCTAAGTGAATGATCACTCTTTTCTTGTCATGAAAACGTTCTCAGCTCCCTGAAATGATTTGACTTACCAAAATGAACATGAGGCTTGGTTTTGCAGAATAGCAAACCCTTTTCATGCTTACCTACAGGACCAGATTCTCCTGGAAGTCCTGGGTTCCCAGGAGGACCAGTAATGCCTTTTGGTCCAGGAAGACCATGGGTTCCTAGAGCAAAGTGTTCAGTTTAATCAAAAAAGAAAAACTGTGCTGCTTTGGGAGCTACAACTCAAACTTACAATTTATAGTGTTAGCATAGAAACAGTGAAGAATAGAAAAATACACAAAAAGATGCTGGTGTTTGCTAGGTGTTTTAAGAATTTTAAATTTTAAGTTTATTTATCTAGAGGCTATATTTATTATATATTCATAATAAAAGTAACTACCACCATATTATACTAGTAGAACTGGCAGGATTCCATTGTATAGATATATCAAAAATTTTAATCTATTCATACATTTTTGAACATTTGGTCATGCTTTAGCTATTCCATAATAGATACTATTGTATTTATAGAAACTTGGTCTAATTCTAGTTATGGGTTATTATGAATAATGCTGCTATGGATATTTTTGCATTGATATTTTTGCAGGTATATGTCCTTATTTATCTTGGGTAAACACCTACATAGGAGTGGAACAACTGAGTCAGAGAGCAGGTGTGTATATATATATATGTACACCTATATATCTATAGATACATACCTATATAGATATATATCTGCCAAACCATTTGATGTTCATAATAACGTTTGGAAATTCCAGTTGCTCCAGATCTTTGAACAACACATGCTGATATCAGTTGTTTTAATAGCCATCCTTATAGGAATGTAGTGTTAATTTATTGTGATTTTAATTAGCATTTCTCTGATGGCTAAGGATATTGATGAACTTTTCATGTGCTAGTGGCCATCCATATACCTTCTTTTATAAAATATCTGCTCAAAGTTTTCCCCATTTAAAAATATTAAACTGTATATTTTATTATTATTATTGACTTGTGGATGTTCTTTATATATCCCAGAAATCAGTCATTTGTGAGATATATGTTTTGGAAGTATTTTCTCCTACTCTGTAGCTTCCCTATTTATTTTCTTTCTTTTCTATTGTTTAGAGTATATTTTATTGATTATGCTATTATACCTGTCCCATTTTTTTCTCCCCTTTATCCCTCCCCTTAGTTAATGTGCATGGGTCGTACATATAAGTTCTTTGCCCTCTCTATGTCCTATACTATTCTTAATCTCCCCCTGTCTATTCTGTACCTACCAATTATGCTTCTTATTCCATGTACCTTTTCCCCCATTCCACTCCCTCCCTTAAGCCACTGATAACCCTCCATGTAATCCCCATTTCTGTGATTTTGTTCCTGTTCAGTCTATGGCCATACCACCCTGAATGCGCCTGATCATGTCTGATTCTGTTCCTATTGTAGTTTGCTTAGTTTGGTTTTGTTTTAGTTTTTTAGGTTCAGTTGTTGATGGTTGTTTGTTGTCATTTTACTGTTCACAGTTTTGATCATCTTTTTCTTAGATAAGTCCCTTTAACATTTCATATAATAAGGGCTTGGTGATGATGAACTCCTTTAACTTGACCTTATCTGAGAATATATATAATGATTCCATTTATATGAATTTAAAAAACAGGCAAAATTAATCAATAGTGACAGAAATCACAGTAGTGGTTACCTGGGGGTGTGGGTTCACTGTGAACAATGGGTAAGCTTTATGGTGTGAAGGAACTATTTTATATCTTGATAAGTATGGTGAGTGTGTGGATATATTAACGGGTAAAAATGCATCTATAGTCTTGTACACTTTACTGTGTGTTATATTTCAATAAAAATCTTAAGAAAAAGATATCTAAAGGCCCACTCCATCCATGCCACTGTTTATTCCAAAATAAACAAAACAAATTAAATACAAGCATAAACAGAGGAGGGACTATAACAATCTAATAGTTCAGGCCACTTTTTTGTTTATAGTACTAAGTCCATTTGCTTGCATGACATGGCCCTTGTCATTTTAATGAACTGGATGATTGTTCATTCTACCAACAGCCACCCACTGTGTACCTGAGTGCAACGTTCTAAGAGAATCAGAATCAGGCTGGGGCTTGGCAATGCACATTATCACCCATAAAAAGAGTAAGGCCCCTTAATTGAATTATGGCTAGCAATCAAAGATTGAAAAATGCTCCACCAAATATTATCTCTGTCCACAGGATATTGTCCTGCTGAGTTTATAATATTCATTCTCATTTTATACAGAAAGAAATTTGGACAAAGAAATGTTAAAGATCTAGTTCAAGATTGTGTTGCTAGTCAGTATCTGATTGGGAAATAGAATAAAAGTCCACCAAATAAGACTATGCTCTGTGATATTGGCTACAATAAATAAGGAAGGAGAGAAGGAAGCATTTAAGAAAAATATATTACCAGGAAATCCAGGAAGACTTGGTTGTCCTTTTGCTCCTGGGGTCCCTGGTAATCCAGGCAAACCAGTATCTCCTACAGGACCTTTGACACCAGGGTTCCCTGGGAATCCAGGCAGACCAGGTTCACCCTAAAATATAAATAAAAAGATAAAACTGAAGTCTTTCCATTTCTCAGATCATATAACAAGACAACATTAAAGAGATTTTACTATGTGTTAAATTGCTTCATTTAATCATCTCAAAAGCCCTTTGAGTTAGGTTTTATCATTTCCATTTGTAAATAAGAAAACTGAATTTTGGAGAACTCAAGTGCCTAAGGTTGCCAGTAAGTGGAAGAATTAGGATTTGCATCCAAGGCCTGTCAGAGTCCAGAGCTCTTGCTATACCCCTGATATATTATATAAATGCATTATTGCCATTAATCCTTAACAACACTATAAGAAAGATACTGTCATTATCCTTTTTTACAGTGATTTAGCTGGTAAGTGGTAGAATCTGGATTTGGATCCAAATAGTCTGATTTCAGAACCTGTGATAATCATTCCTAGTATGCTACAATAAAATTCATTACTTAGAATAAGCAGGCTCTACTGCAAAAAGTTAATTTCATCTTAACATAAAGAAGTCTGTCATTCTTCAGTGGACATCTCAAATCCCATTTCTTCCATGACACCTTCCAGGGCACAGAGCTTACCCTAAGAATTTAGTGTAGATTCTTATTCTGTCATGTCTATAATGGTTTTACATATGCATGTCTTCACTCTCCAACTACAATGAAAATTTCTTTGGGGTCAGAGACAATTCATATATAACCATTTTTGCTTAATGAACATTTGTATTAAGTTCTATAGTAAATACATAGAAAAATTCAGACCCACTTTCACAAGTTAACAGTTTTCCCCAAGAACAATGAGAACATATGTCATAACGTTATATCTATAGCTATCACAGTATTCACTGCTCTGCTCATGAGAATCATGACCTATCTAACAAACTGTTAGTATTCAATATCATCTATTGAATACTTCCTCCCAGATTTAGTGCTTATGTTTGTCTAGGCAAATCAGATAATCTATTTGTGATTCAATTTTTTCTGCACTATAGTAAAACCTTTTTAAACTAATGCCCTTTACACCTCCTCTTTTAAAAAAATCAAGAGACTTGGGCTATACATAAACAATGCCTATCTGGAACAATCCAGCTATTATTAATATAATGAGAACAGTTTGTATGACATCAATGTAACCTGGAAGACAAGAAGAGTATACAGGAATGGGTATATGTGAACAATGACAACTTAACTGTACTAGTAAGTCAGTGGGGAA